CATGAGAGATAGAAACTGAACGTGCTCCAAGGCGCTCTCCACCAGACTAACATAGCAGAGCTCCCGAAAGAATGGAAGGGGTGTCATTGGCAGGGCTTGGTAACCAAAAGGAAGGTTGAATGCAAGGAATTCTGGCTTTAGAACCAAAATGGGTAGGTGTATCCTTCACAGAGATGTAGTACCAGGCAAGGAAACCTGAACCAAGGGGAATGGGCTTCCATGAGGCTTGCCCTAGTCAGGGTTTCTTTTGCTGTGATAAACACAATGACCAGAGCCAGTTGGAGAGGAAAGGGTTAATTTGGCTTATACTTCCACATCAGAGACCATCACTGCAGAACCTGGAGGCAGGAGCTGATGCAGAGGCCATGGAGGGGTGCTGCTTACTGGCCTGCTCCTCATGGCTTGCTCAGTCTGATTTCTTATAGAACCCAGGACCACCATCCCAGGGATGGCACCACCCACCATGAGCTGGGTCCTCCCTCATCAATCAGTAATTAAGAAAATGCCCTACAGGGTCTTATGGAAGCACTTTCTCAGTTGAAGTTCTCTCCTTGCATGACTCTAGCTTATGCCAAGTTGACAAAAAACTATCCAGGACAAGGCTGCTGAGAGTGAGTGAGCTCTGTAGGACCGAAGTGAAAATGGTAAAAGATCAACTGGACATTCCGGGGTGACGCCCACAAGAAATATTTAGGCTAGAACTGTTGGTTTAGGAGTTCCCAGGAAAGCCACAGGCATGGATAAGAAAGCCCAAAGATAATGTTCCATGTGAGAGGAAGGCTCAAGATCTAACCACACAATGTACCAACTAAAAGGACAGAAATAGAAAGACCAGGAAAGGGAGAAAAAGCCAGGGAATGTGCTGAGGAGAACTGTCCACATCAAATGCTGTGGAGAGGTCAAGTAGGTTAATAACTGAGAAGTGCCGGTTGGATTTAGCAACAAAGCAGTCATTGTTGACCTCCCATCCCAGAATATAAAGCTGAGAGGCAACAGGTCCACATGAATGAAAATGTGCCCAAGTCATTCTAAAAGGAAAAATACCCCAGGCTGAATGCCAGAGAATATTCTGGACTCGTTTTGTTTTGTTTTGTTTTGTTTCCCTCGTCCTAAATTTAACCGGCCGGAATGCTTGGTTAAGTGGTGTTTTGTTCACCCTCGAAATGGAGGACCTGCTTTTTAAGTGTGTGTCTGCACTTCATCTTCAAAGTGGAACACAGTGTCTTTGGGGCAGTGACTCTGTACAGGGCAAAGGCTAGGTACTGTAAGTGCAATGGAGGAACTTGCATTTGCCTCCAACAGGGAAGTTTTTGGTGACCTAAATACTCAAACAGCATCTAAGTGGAAACCGAGGCCACTCGCCACCAATAATAATAATAATAATAATAATAATAATAATAATAATAATAACAACAACAACAACAACAAAACTCTACAATTTCAAGAGTGAGCTGAGAGGTACAGCTTTGGCGTGAAAAACACTAAACCTCCACCAAATGGGTAGTGAAACAGCTAAATTGAGGTCAAAGTCTTGATACGATCCAGGAAGAGAGCACAGTGCCCTATAGCTGCTCAAACTGCTGTATCCTCGTACTTGAGTTGGAAGCTCTTTCAGCCCTTGGAGAAGCACCCTTTTCCTGGCCTGATTATAGAGCACTTGACTTGCGAATAGTCTTGCATTCCTGAGTGTTCCAAGCTTAAAGAACAGTGTAGATGTCTGCTTCTGGCCAAAGTGGAATATTAGGGACTAGATTTTCCCTTTCATCTGAAGCAACTAAATGGCCAGGGAAAAAAAATATGAACCGATAGTTTTCAGATACAAGACATAAGGCTTCATGAGCCCTGAGCAGCAGAGACTAGGGTGAGCCCTGTGATCATCAGCCTGCAGCCACAGAAGGTTTTCCAAAAGGGAGAGAGGGCAACGCTAACCCATGAGTTAAGACATCAGGGAGGCCATGGTAGCTAGAGTTCATGAGACAGAACACCAGAGAGGAGATGGTCACACAGGGAGAGAGAGTACCAGAGATCTGCCAAGGGTCCTACCCCAGCCCCTGCTAATACCGGTAACTCCTGGGTATGAAGAAAATACCCCAAGGATGACAAAGAACTACCTTGAGCTGGGCCTGGTGGCACATGTCTTTAATCCCAGCACTTGGGAAGCAGAGGCAGGCGGATCTCTGTGAGTTCGAGGCCAGCCTAGGCTACAAAGCGAGTTCCAGACAGAGAAACCCTGTCTCAAAAACAAAGAACAAACAAACCAAAAAGAACTACCAAAAAGGATTAGAGAGAGAACAATCTTTGAAGCTTGCACAGAGCCAAGAACCGCCTTTCTTCTCCTCAGCCAGAATGGGAAGACTCCCCTCCCCCAGTCCACGAGGCATTGGATAGCATACCCAGAAGGGTCTTGCTGCATTTGTGGCCTAGATTCAATGCAATTCTGGCCCCATCTAAAAAAGCTCAACAGTAAGACCCAAAAAGATCAAACTGTTTCTTTGTAACCTAACAGCATCCCAGAACAAGCTCAAGATTATTTATAGGAATACAAAAATATCCAGCACCCAGCAAGGTACAAGTCATATCTGAGGTCCAGTAAAAAGCCTCCAGGCATGCAAAGAAGTGGAGAAATATGACCACAATGAGGAGGAACATCAACCAACAAACCCAAGGAAGAACAAAACTGATAGACTTTGTAGACAAAGACATTGAAATAGTCTGTATACCCTTTATGTGCTAGAGAAGCACTGTAACTGTGTTACTGTTTGGATATAAAATGGCCCCAAAGGCTTATGTGTGGAGGGCATGGTGTCCCGCTAGTGGGGCTGATGACCGTGATTGTGACTCCATCATGAAGGCTCTAACTCCCTCCCTGGCTTGATCCATTGAGGAGTGTACTTTGAATGAGCTACTGGGAGGTGGAGCCTGGTTGCAGGAAGTAGGCCACGAGGGCATGCCTTTGAAGGGTATGTCTTATTTTGGGCTACTTCCCATCTCCCCCCCACCCC